TTCGACTCACACACTCGCACGAAGCAGGCATGGCAAGGAGACGTCCCGAGCTTAGGGTTTAGGGCTACCTAATAACAGAGATTGTGATCATCAAAATCAGGCTCAGGGATGTTTAGGGTACATTATGCATGGTTATACTCGAATTATATGCGAGGGGAGCAACGGAGTTCAGGTTCTTGTAGTGTTTGATAAACACTACAAACAAGCCTGACTCTAGTTGTACTAGCATTGTATGGGTTATAAGCCTCTGAAGCCGCTGCAGCGCGTATTGTTGTAACGCTTCGAGCGTGCAAAGATCTGTGCATCTTTGCATGGTTAACAGGATGCACAGATACATATGCTCGAGTGCTACAGCGAATAGACCGCACTGCGACTGTGCACCTGCAGCATAGACACGCAGAACACCACGTACCACACCGAACGATACACCGGTACGACGTAGAACACTCTGAAGCTGTGGAGGTGGCATGTTCCTGGCCTGGAAGGGGGATGGTGATCTCAGGAAAGAAGCGTGAACGCCTCAAGAGCCGGACCTTCCTGAAGATCAGCTCGACTTCGGAGTCATTCAAGGCCTTCAGGGTTTAGGGTTTTTTTTTTTTGCACGACCCTTTTTCCGTCCAGGGTTTAGGGTTTAGGGTTTAGGGTTTAGGGTTTAGGGTTTAGGCGGCCTTCCCCTCCACGAAAACGCGGAAGCCTTGGAGCTTGCTATCGGGGTTGGAGAAGTCGACGCAGTTGATGAACCAACCCTCCTTGGCATCGATCTCCTGGAAGGTCTTGGCTGACCCGCGCTTGCTCTTCTTGAACGTCGCATCTGCGGCATCTGTGAAGATCAACTTCCAGGTCCCGTTCAGGATGCAATTCTTCGGATCCTCACCGCCATAGCCCCTCCAGCCTTTCAAAGGGGCGCTGGTAGGATTCCTGATCGGCGACAGGATGCAGGAATAAGCTCCACAAATCTACAGCAATCAGCCGAAGCCTCTAGGTAACCGAGTTTCTTGGCGGCTACGCGCTCGATCGCCTCGATAGTGCTATTCCGTAAGGCATCAAGCTCATCGCCAAGCTGAACCCGCTGCGCTGCGAAGCTCTCCGCCTCCATGAGTCGTGCAACTAGCACTTACTTACATGGGGATTTCCGAAAATAGAGGACCCTAATATAGTACCCTAAATAGTAGGATCCTTATTATAAGGCCCCCAAAATAAAGTATCCCTAATTTTCTGAAACTCCCACATGTCAGTACAGTAGTGGAAACCAACAAGCTGAAAGAGCTGGGCTCCAGGCAAGTAATGCAGGAACCTGATTAGGAAACCCCTGGCCCTATAACCCCCCCAAAAAATCGTAGGATTCATATAAAAAAGGGCTTAACAAGGACCCGAGGTTTCTGGATCAGGTTCCCATATGGGTAGTTGTCAAAATTATGGTCCCTTTTGGGGTACCCTAAATAATAGGTGCCGTATTGTAATAAGGACCCAAAAAGGGACCATAATTTTGACAACCACCCATATTGTGATTTACCTTCCGAAACATTGCGGACTCGAGAGCTTCCCCTGCACTCGCCTGCAGAAGGGATGCTTTGGACTTGGCTTTGCGTTTGCCAGACTTCTTCTCGGACTTCTCCTGCTCGTCCATCATCTCCCACATCTCCTCACCGAGGGGGGGGCTGAAGATTTTTCGGGTGTAATACGGTTGATGGACAAAATGCTGCATGACCTTATATACCTAAACTATGGGATGTATTGTACTATACTATATTTGGGTCATGCAGAGTTTTGTCCATCAACAGTCATGGGTATCGGTATGGGAAACAATAAACTGCACAACCCCCCAATCTCTACCCAGGGGCCTTAACCAGCAAGCCGCTAACCCCCGTCCTCCTGTTTGCTTCGAAACTCCTCACAGAGGCTCTGTAGCTCCTCCTTATAGGTGACATCTGCACTCGCTGTGGCGCCTGCGGTTGCTCGAAGACCCGTGCGGCCCACGAAACTCACGGGCCAAGCACACCTGGATGGCTCTTGGACTCTAAGTTGCCCCATATAAGCCCCTCTCTTGAGGGTATCCGAACCCAAACACGAGGATTTACGAAGCAGGGACTGGGGTCCTGCGGCCTGAAGGACAGCAATCCCAGAACCTGTCTGTTTGTCGATGAGTGCATGTCTTCACTGCACATCGGCAAGGCATCAAGAGCCACCGCCCCGTGACATCACAACCTACGAGCCCTTCGGCTCCGCTGACTGCGACCCAAGCACTGTGCTAGCAGCAGCAGGGCTACTCCACAGCTGCACCGGCTACGGCGCGATGTTCCGTGGGCACGCACCATGATGGCACGGAGATCGGGCGAGCAGGCTTCAGCACGTGGAGGGGTTTGTCAAGGCACACGCTTCCGAAGCTTACTGAAACCTGCAGGCTCTAGAACCGTGAGATCGGAATCCAAACACTCCCATACGAGAGCCACGTGCATCGACCAGCCAAGTGGATCAAACGGCCTGAGGCCGATCCCTCACGAGTTTTCGCACCCTTTGGCCAGTCGTCACTACTGTATGATGTGGGGCTATCTGCTGCTTTCATGAGGTTGGCACGAGTTTGGGTTAATGGAGAAAGTGGTGCCACGCAGCACCTGCCGGGCGTACGCTATGAGAGGACCGTTTTCACAGAATATCAAAACGGAAGGTTTGGAAGCTGTTGGGGATAGAATCGGAACGGCAAGCGTCAAAGAAACTGCTGCACGGAGGTTGGGGTTGAAGCTTTGATTAAAGCACTCGCACAAGGCAGGCAAGGCTCCACTAGGTTGAGGCTTTAGGATCCTTACTGAATCAGGCTTTGGCAGAGGTTCTATACGGGCAACCGGACCATGGCACGATAGGTGCCGCAGTGATGAACCCAAGCAACACTCCCAATTCATGCAACGGTCCTCATAAGCCTCGAAATCACAATCTACGCGCTGGTCCCACAATCTACGACTTGCATCCACAGCATTCTCTCCAAGGGATTATGCTCATAGCTACAAGTAGTGCAAATCCAAGAACCCATCGTCAGCCCATAACTTTGCAGCGTCGTGATGGTCTGTTCATGTCTGTTCAAGAATACCTCGTAGTCCTCCACATTCCCCGGCAGTCAAAACTTGCGTGTGGTCCCTGAAGTCATCCTCCGAAATTCCCTCTGCGACTCTCGCATACTTTGCGAGGCCAGGCGACGACTCTTCGTCTGAATCGGTGCAGGTGTAGGTGCTTGTGCTCACGCATTGCTAGTTTGCGTTCCTATGTATATTGAAGAAATTATGTAAATCACATGTACAAAAAAGTCTGCATCTGTATCTGCGTGTTCGTGTTTTTATGTGCACGCATGTCACAGATGTTGTGCGCTTGTGACGAGACATATCTGCAGGCACTCGTGTTTTCTTTTTATTTGATTGCATGGTTTACACACTATTGTTGGTCCCTTGGCTGCAGGCTACGAGTTCTCACCCCGTCTCGCAACTTTTCAGAGTCCGGCTTCTTGGTAGATCAGCCTGCTTCAGCCAGCTGTAGGGATGTCGTGGTAGTTGTGGAAGATCCTGGGCGTCAGAGCCACAGACTTCACTTCCTGAAGCTTGCTACAAGGTTCGAACCCCTGACCCGCTACAAACCCAAAGCTGATCCATCCAATAATCGGCAGCCCCATGGCCCCCAAATCCGAGACCAGAGCCCCTCTCCGGCAAGACACCGCTCTCCCAGGCCACGGCCACTGACTTCCTTGATTTTGGCCTGGGGTGGGTAGCGCATGGACGACTGTTTGGAGTACATGCAGTTCAGGCCCTGTCCAGCGCCTTTGAAGTCGAGCCCTCTAAGGGAGGGCCCCAGAGTGATTAATATAGGGGCCTTAATAATTCGAATAGGGTTTTGTTTTGGGGCCCAGAAAACTATAATCATAATAAGGAGCCCCCCAAATAATCTGTAGGAAATTTTTGAGGCCCCTACATTATAAGCTTGGAACCACGAAGCGCCTCAAAAGGGCTGGGGATTCAGATCTGGAAATCACCCCACAGCTAGATAAGGGGTTTAGGGTTTAGGGTTTCAAGTGTGGCGAAACAAGCAGGCGACAGTAAAGTCAAAGTCATCCGGAGAGCACTCTTTCGAGACCGCTTTGCGTGATTCTCTCGTCAGTTTGGGTGTTGGGAAGCACGGCTGCTTTTACGGTTATACTGTGACAAGTCTGTCAGGGACTCTATATATATATATATATATCAGGATCTCTGTTAAACTGTTAGCTTTTAGCAATATTCTAACACCTCTTTAGTCTAGGACATTTTTAGGTGGGTAGTTACCGTCATAGGAGCCTTGTAGAGTGAAGGTCTATATACCTTATAGAAGCCCTGTATACCCTACTAGTAAACTCCCCACCTGTAGTTTCATTTAATTTAGCAGCTTATCGGTCCGGGGTCTGCAGCATATATTACATAGCTCTGAAGGCCTCGCGGCATCAACAACATCTGTACAGGTTACTCTGTCTCCGAGTCGGCTTTGGTTGGGAACTTATTGTGTCTCAAGCCGCACTGTACATGCGACCGATGCTGCATTGCCACTATGTAGACCTCGGAGGTGTAGGTGCAGCCCTTACGTACCTCAAGCCCAGCTTCCCGGTTGACATGGCCTCAAACTGTTGGTAGCTTTCGGTCGCAATGATGTCCTCCTCCCCTACCTGCGAAACGAGCTCGGAACCTAAATCCTACACCCTGGCTCTTTTGGCAAAGCTGCATCCAGAGCTACTTCTAGTGATCAGAAACATCTCGCCCTTGCAGCACAAGCTGTTGGCTGTCGATCCTGTTTTTTGCGAACCAAACGAACCTTAAACACCGAAAGTTCCGGTTGTGGCAGCAGCTAAGGACTGGAGAAGAAAGCCGAACACCATTTTGATCCAAAATACAACTGTAACAGAACTATGGCTACAAGGGAAAATGTAGCTGCAATATAAAATCCAATACTACTACATATGTTGTAACCAAGAGTTTCGACTCCGTGACCTTGCTTCTCTCAACGCCGCCCGCTCTTTTCGTTTAGTTTTGCCTCGGGCCGTCCTGAAACAATGATGCTTGTTGAGTGCAAGCACGCAGGCGAAGAATGGGGGTATGCTCATCCCTGAAGACATACATGCATAGACAGACAGACAGACAGACAGACAGACAGACAGACAGACAGACAGACAGACAGAGAAATACGCAGATAGTTAGATACATAGCTAGATAAATAACAACATAGACAGACACATAGATAGATACGTAGACAGATAGATAGAAAGGCAGATAGGTAGGTAGGCAGGCAGGCAGGCAGGTAGGTAGGTAGGAAGATAGGTAGGTAGGTAGGTAGGTAGGTAGGTAGGTAGGTAGGTAGGTAGGTAGGGAGGTAGGTAGGTAGGTAGGTAGGTAGGTTAATAGGTACACGAATGGAAAGACAGATAGGCAGACAGACAGACAGAAGGATAAAAAGATGGACAGACAGAAAGGCAGATAGAGAGAAACATAAATAGGTTGATGGATGGCTAAAAATCCAAAAGCTTAATGGATGGAAAGAAGGAAAGACAGATATGGGGGTTTCCAAAAATAGGGGACCCTAATATAGCACCCTAAATAGTAGGATCCTTAATATAAGGACCCCCAAATAAGGTACCCCTAATTTTCGGAAACTCCCATATTGCATTTGAGGAGGTCCCCACCTTCGGATCCGGTCCGAGGCCCTCCGAATCCTGCTTGACCCACATCCGCGCAATCTTCCCTGCCTTCTCCTCCTGGTTATACCAGGGGCCACAAAAAATAGAATAGATATACTGTAATTATTCTAGAGGCCTTAATAAGATACTGAAAAATTTTATAGGGGCCTTATTAAGAATAGATATACTTTAATTGTTGAAGGGGCCTTAATAGATAGACTTGTAGAATAAATGAACAGAGAAGTCTCGGGGATATCCAGGCTTCAGGGACTTCGATAGTCTCAGAAGCCTCGGAAACTGGGTTTAGGGTTTAGGGGACCAGATTTACGTCATCCACCTTTTCGGTAGGGGCCTTAATAATTCGAACAAGGCTTTGGGGGTTTCTTATTATTATGGTATAATATACCCCAAGCCCTGTTCGAATTCGTAAGGCCCCTATATCAGGCTTGGTTTGCTGGCCTTGCTGCAAATCCCTCGAGCCAACTTCTGAGAATGGGGGCCACGCTGTTTTGCTATCTGCTTCCCCTCGATTGCGAAGATGGGACGTTGAATCACAGGGATCAAACTTGCACGCTGAGCCCTCAACTCGAACCCCTGTCCAGGCACATGAACGAGACGGGTAAATACTTGCAATCTGGTTTTGAAGGCGGCAGTCTTTCTCAAATGCTGCCATGTGGCATAGAGCACTGCGAGGTGCTCCGTTCGCGGATCCCGCACCCCGAGGCGACCGTCTGGCGGCGTACCCGCCCGGGCCGTCACCAGGCTCCTCAGGAAAGCAAAGCTTGCGGTAAGCTGCAACAAATATCTTTTTGCTTGAATGTTCATGGGCTTGTTGGGCTTCAGTTTGACTGTCTTCGGGGTTGGTGGGGTGTGGTGAACGGCATGCACGTGCCCCATAGACAGTAAATCCCTTATGTAGTAAGACAGAAATCACGAGGGCTCCGAGCAAAGTAGAGTCACACTGGGCCTGCACTAGTCGCCACATCCGTCTTTGTCGTTTTCCTCTCTCAGCACGATGCTGGAGATATCAGGTGCCCCAGGCATGTGTCACACCCGCAGGTCTTCCTCAATTGTCAGCAAATCCTTTCAGAATGTTTGTCCTACACCCGAAGCCCCAGAATGAGCTTCAGGAAATAGAACAGCTACAACCCCGCCCCACCAATCATGTAGCGATTCGGCCGAACTTACCGTAACCATATACACCCTAAACTTTGACTCAACAGCTCCGATGTCCCAAACGACTCTGCTATCGAGCCTGCATGCACCCTACACCCTAAACCCTGAACCCCATGCATGAAGGCCCCAAATCAGTGAGATTAGCTGTACGTTCGAAGCTCAAAGGCCGCTAACCTCACAGCTGCTACACACGTTCCATTATGTCAGAAACCGATATTACATTGTCGTTTTCGATTCTGTTCTATTGAAGCATACTACATCATGCTTCATTCGGTTCTATCACATCATGTTTATTCCATGTTATACTATATTACGGTACGTTCCAATGATCTTATATTGCATTGCTTGTGTTATCTGGTCCTTGTTTGGCTCAAGTTCAATGTCATGTTGTGGTATTCTATATGAGCCCAGCGGCTCGTGAGTCTCGAAATCCAAGCAGTAAGTGGGGCTCTTGGAATCGAAGTAGAAGCGCTTCGTACAGACTCCGCGCAGCTCATCGCCGGATTCCCGGAAAACCTCCGATAAAAGATGGGGGGCAGGAGAGCTACTGCAATCCGACCCACCACTGCACGAGCCCCAACGGTAGATATCACGGAATTCGAGCCAACATGGGCGAAGCGCATCAAACTGCGGAGTGAAGGGTTTTTGCGTGTCTGGGTGCATGGCTCCAAGCCTACACTAATTAACTCTACACCGAACGAATCCAAGGAGCGCAAGCGTAACGCTTCTGAAACATCTTGTCCTTGACAAGTACTCCTCCTGTTTTGAGGTCGAGTATCTGGACCTTCGCCAAGCTCATGAAGTCAGCTGTTTTGGAATTGAAGCGAGGTTATGGTGGCACTGGTTGGCAAACCATGCTCCAGGCTCCAGGAAGGCAGGCATCGTCACAAGCTAGCCAACACGGCACACAGTCTTTTCCTAAGCCTTCGAAGCTCTAAGGGGGCCGGACGGTCGGCCTAGCAGTGAAGATCATACTGGACAACAAGACGGGTGCCGGGATCGAACCCTCCTAGCTCCGGGAACCTTCTCATGGAAACTCTCCATGAAGTTCTTGAGCTTCCCCTCAACCAGCGGCGTGCGCTCTTCCATTGGGACATCGTTTGGCACCTCGCCGGCCAGGGTTCCGACGTCTGCCCGAAACTCAAAGCTGAGCGTGTCGAGTCATGCCCTCAACCCTTCTATAGAGCGTGGCTCCCAGGCAGAAACGTCTGCTAGATTGCTAGATTGACGAGAACCTTCAAAATGAGGAAAACCCTTTACCGCAAGTTGGCAAGAAGAAGTGAAGGCTCCGGCAAGCTTCTTCGGCTCGCACCGTGCGACTACAACCATCAATGTGACAAGTCTGATGGTTTTGAGGGTGTGAGGGCCTCCGTGTTGTACACCTCCATCTGCGCATTGCAAAGGAGCACAGCATTCGTGTTGGGCTCCTGGCTCTGGAAGGACCGGGAATAGCCCGTATATAAGCCCTAAATTGGCCCTAAGAAGCAACTTCGTGCTGCGAAACGGCTGTGATGCACCCTAAACCCTAAACCCTAAACCCCTAAACCCCTAAACCCTAAACCCTAAACGCCTAAACCCTAAACTTGTTACACCGCTGGCATCTGCAGCGAGCCCAAGCACCAGGCATCCACATGTTTTCCTTCGATGTGACCCAAGGCCATCAGCCCAAGCACCAAAACAACACCAGACTGTGTCCACAGTGTGTATATATATATATATAAATAAACAAACATGTATATGTATATATACACACACATATATACTTATATATATATATATATATATAGATTTATATAATACATATATATATATATATGTGTGTGTGTATGTATGTATGCACGTATGCATGTATGCATGTATGTATGTATGTATGTATGTATGTCCGTATGCACACCCGCACACAAACATAATCACATGTATGTATACATGCATGCATGCATGCATGCATGCATGCAGTCAGGCAGGCATAGAGAGAGAGAGAGAGACCGACACACACATATGTATATATATATATATATATATGTATATATGACTGTTTATGTACGTACAAATATATGTATATTTATATATATCTATATATATATATACATACATACATACATACATACATACATACATACACACATACATATATCTATGTATAGGTCCGCCATTACGACAACATGTGGCTGCAATGCTCGTCTCCTCTCCGGCTTCGTCAGATTCTTCCTCCTTTGCCTCGGTCTTGACTTTCTTGCCCTCCTCCCCGGGGCTGTCGAGGTCGAAATGAGCTTGAGGAGTTTCTTTAGTTTGAAACATGTGAAAGGCTTTTTTGAAGCTGATGGCCTCCTGTTTCACCTCCTTCTTGATCTCCTTCTTGACTTCCTTCTTAATCTCTTTCTTGACTTCCTTCTTGATGTCCTCGCCGAGAGGTGGCTGGCTGTGGTGTTGGCAACTCAAAGTAAAGCACTCCGACTAAGTCTTGACCAGTGCCCACCTCTTTCTTCACCTCCTTTTTAACTTCTTTCTTGCTTTCTGGCTTGGCCTCTTTCTTCACCTCCTTTTTCACCTTGGATGGCGGCCGCGATGACAGAACTCACTACTGGGCACAGCAACGAACTCGCCAGGTCACCGCCTTCTTGACCTCCTCTTTGCCGTGCCGGCCAGTAGAAGGGGTCTTGGAGTCCAGCCTCCTCAATGCTTGAAGAAGCCGGGTGCGAAGCTCTTGGTTTTCGACTTTCAATGTCTCGAAGTCCACTTGCAGCAGCATGAGCCTTGAGCTTGTGCGGTGGGGTGCTTCAGGGGTGCCTGCTACCGGTATATGGAGGTCCATGCCCCATCTTGAGCACTATTTACCATTCCTTCGTCGAGAGAGTTACGACGCACAGCTGAATTTTGTGAGTGACACTGACAAAACAGTCAGCTTAGAACATGAAAACACTAATGAAAACTGCAGCTGAAGCCACTTGCCTTCCGCCGGCAAGTCCTCCTCATCATCGTCACGAGCGCCGCGACGAGGGCTGCGACTACGATCTCTTCCCATGGCCCGACTCCCTGCAACCCTACAATGGCTTCCAATGATCCAAGACTCATTTTTCTAGCTAGGGGCTCGGGCACTGCGAACACGCATCAAATTTGCGCGTTGTGGTTCAGCTGATCCACGGAGGCACGCTGCTTGCACCTACTCCATACTTGTAACTGCATAGGGGGTGGGCTCAAGTGTTCCGGCTCTAAGAAAGTCATGCGACACTCGCATTATCGTCTCCAGCGGTTGTGGGGGGGGGGGGGGGGGNNCAGGGGGGGGGGGGCAACACTAAGGCCGGTCTGACTGTGCCAAGTATCATCTGAACAAATCTCGGCGAACTGAGCCAAAGATGCATCCGTCAGAACCGGTTACGGAACACGATGTGGTAACAAGAGAGAGGCCTAATTAAGCCCCCAACCCGCACCTGCAATGCGACCAACTATGTGTGATGAAAAGCTCCTTCTTGTTCCTGCAACAGGGCACCAGGTGCGACGGTTCTTCTTTTTGCAACGTTTCCGGGACGCTCGCCGCAAGCCTGGCGAGAACAGAGCTGATTGGGCGCTGCGGAATCGAATTGAAGCAGTCAGCCGTTGATGTCAACAGTTGGAAGCAGGGACTTGGCCGGTAAGGAGCAAGTAGCATTACAGCATTACACGAGCATTCCCGATAGAAAGCCAAACTCAATGCACCAAGCTTATCAAACAAAACGCAGTCACGTGTCACACGCCATGCAAACAGCAAAATGACTGGCAATGAAATGGAGACCTCGACCGGCAGGATTCAACTATTGCGCCGACGTCTCTGGCAAAAACTTGCCTTACAAGGAAGCATTCAACGACTTGAAGAATAAGTGTTAACAGGAATCATGCAGTAATTCTATGAGCGCGACAACCAAACGACGAGCGGCTGAAAACAACAAAGGCACCAACACCCCCCCCCCCCCCCCC